CCTTCAATGAAGACTCATTTCCTGTATAGTCGTTATGTGGATTACTGCCCGACATTGAGGAGAGCGGTCCGGCTGAAGAGATGCCATTCGGGACATGGTTCTGCACCGCGTTCCTGAGCGAAGTGTCTGAAGGGCTGGTGATTGAGACATCATTGTGGCGAGCTGATAAAGGGGCAGTCGATGTCTCTTGAAAATAGACTGCGTTACGAGGACTTGGTCCGTGAGCGGCAGAAGGCTCTGACGGAGAACTATACGAATGTGGCCCCGGTTGTGAGAGGTCATGACTCATACTCATGCGATGCTGGCTTCGAATGATATGAGTCTCGATGAGCCGGGCTTGCGTCTGGATGACCTGCTCCAGCCGATCTGTCCTTATTAGCGATGAATACAGTTTGAACAGGAGAGAGCTCATGAGCATACCAAGCCGCTGCTCCAATTCTTTGCCGTATCCAGCCCGGAGACCAGGCTTCTTTCGTTCCTTATACTCACATAGCTGGCCATTGCGAGCGCACCATCCACAACTTGGCTGGGCCCGGTCTACAACTGTGAGTCATATGCCAAAAAGGACCAAAACCCAGGGCAGTAGATACTCACCACATTTGACTTTACGCTGCTTGCAGAGTTCGCATCTATAATCCGGTTTGAGATGTGTGAATCAGCAGTTGCATAAATTTCTGAAGAGATCACCGAATTGATGAAACCGGAGAAAGTAAGGGGATTAACATACGACACAGTGAGCGGACGTTTCCGTTTCAAACTTCGGGCTGCGTTTGAATCATTTGGCGCGATGCCATCATTATCACTATCGCCAGCGGACCACGACTCGTCAGCACTTTGTTCTTCCTTATTCTGGTCGCCTGCAAGCCGTGCTGGTGGTGGTGGAGTCTGCTGAACAGAAGCTATAGCAGGGTTCGGCATTGTGTTCTAGCGAGTTTCGGGGTTATGGAAAGCTTCCATAAGCAACAGCAGCACTATCAGCAGCAAGAAGGCATGATCATCGGCAGCAATGCAACAAGACGGGATGCAGGGTAATGGGTCCAGCCGGAAAAGCAAGATAATGCGGGTATCAACGAGGATCAACGGACAGAGACCGGGATAGACTGCCGATATCGAGGACAGAGAAAGGAGGGAAATTAGAATGGAATCAAAGGATCATGCTTGGGGAAGGCCAAGGGAACAATCACAAGAGGCCAATGAAATCTCCCTCGGCAGTGCCTGAGGCAACAGCTTTCCACCCCGCAAAATAACTAAAATCCCCAAAAATAACATGACCACAAGACCGGCGAGAGCTGGCCTGAATTGATCATAATTACGAAGCACAGAGTACCCTTAGATTACTTGCACCTAGCCAATCTCGGACTAGCAAAAGTATCTGCAAATTGGCACTGAAGCAGAATGACAGAAATATTAGGCAGCTCCATCGCGAAAGCGGACGGACAGTGGCTCGTCCACCTTTCCGGCCGAGACCTTACCTACCTTAGGTTACCTGCCTAGTACGGTAAGGTACACCAGGTAGGTCACTGGCCAATCACTCGTGTGGTCTCGGGCAAGCAATGCCCCGAGGTAGGCGTATACCGGGTATGATGGTCATGAACCCCACGACGCATTGTCGGGATGATCGTGTTCAAATATGACCGGTTTTCCACTTATCGTCATGGCAGATTATTGAGTCCCTATCTTCTCTCTTCCCTTTCCTTTCTCCGTGCGCGATTTGTCCAACTTCACCCTATCGCACCATGACTCTCAAATCGACTTTCCCCCGCATTAAAGAAGTCCGGACTTTCATCATCGATGGAGTTGGATCCGGTGGAGATTATCACAATGTAAGTATTTCTTCGAGGTCTGCAGTTTTTGCGCTCTTCTGGCTTTTCCTATTGGAAAAGCGTAATGGCTGGGACAAGAAGCGTTGGCTAAATGTACCTCCTCATCATGACTTAGGTCAAAGGTGGTCACTGGTTGGTAGACAGTGACATCTCCACCCCCATGGCAAAATGGGCGCAGTATCGCGGTTCCCGGACATCGTGGGGTATTAACGTCTTGGGATCTTTCTGTGTCGAAATCGAAGCTACCGATGGTACCAAGGGTTTCGCCACTGGATTCGGTGGCCCTCCAGCCTGCTGGTTGGTACATCAGCATTTCGAACGTTTCCTGATCGGCGCTGGTACGTTACTCGGTTTCGGACCCAAGAAGATTGGTTACAGGCCGTTCAACATGCAAACAATGGGGAAAGCTGACCTGATGCCTAAACGATAGATCCTCGTGACACAAACGATCTGTTCGAGAGAATGTACCGAGCCTCCATGTTCTATGGCAGAAAGGGTCTTCCAGTCGCCGTTATCTCCGTCATTGATTTGGCTCTCTGGGATCTCTTGGGCAAGATTCGCAACGAGCCGGTTTACAAGCTCATCGGCGGTGCTACCCGTACGCGGTTGCACTTCTACTGCACGGGTCCGCAACCTGCTGCAGCCAAGGCAGCGGGTTTCATTGGCGCAAAGGTGGCTTTGCCTCATGGTCCCGATGAGGGCACGGAAGGATTGCTCAAGAACGTAGAGTACCTCCGCAAGCAGCGTGAGAGCGTCGGCCCTGATTTTCCCCTGCGCGTGGACTGCTACATGTCCTTGAACGTCCCATACACAATTGAGCTCGTCAAGCGGTGTGAAGCGGAAGGAATCAACATCGATTGGTGGGAGGAGTGTCTCAGTCCCGATGACTTCGATGGCCATGCCCTCCTCAAGCGGGCTCACCCCACAGTCAAGTTCACTACGGGTGAGCACGAATACTCTCGATATGGTTTTCGGAAACTCGTTGAGGGTCGCAACCTTGACATCCTCCAGCCCGATGTGATGTGGGTCGGTGGCATGACAGAACTGCTCAAGATCTCGGCAATGGCTGCGGCATACGATATCCCTGTTGTGCCTCACGCATCAGGCCCCTACTCGTATCATTTTGTTGTTTCTCAGACCAACTCACCCTTCCAGGAATACCTGGCAAACTCTCCCGATGGAATGACCGTCGAGCCAGTGTTTGGCAACCTCTTCGTGAACGAGCCCATCCCAACTCAGGGTTACCTCGATGTTTCGATCCTCGACAAGCCAGGTTTCGGTTTGGAACTGAACCCTGCGGCGCCGCTAATTCCTGCTGCCACTATCCTCACACCGGCTCCTCAGAAGAGCCTCACATTGCCCAGCGAGGACGAAAAGCTGACCAACGGCGCTGCTCACTAGATTGACTCTTTTTGTCTAGATATCCACCTGAAATGTCACGTTCTCGACGAACATTCTTCTATTCAACCATTTACTGCACACTTTTAGTTCATGAATTGTACTGTACATATGGCTTAATTGCATTGTGTTGCTTGGTAGACTGAATGATCGGAATTCTGTCAATACTAGTACCCCTCGGTACTATAACTTACACTGATTGCCCATCTATTTCACACATAAAATCAATCACTCTGTTTTTGTTAATGAGCGACTATTCCCTAAGGAATACTAGTTTCAGATTGTAGTCGTGCAGCACTAGTGCCTCTCTTCTATCTCCCGCACGTGCGAACCCTTCTTGTTCCCCAGTCGGCGTTTCCTCCGAAGTCTGTAGGGTACTCCGTAGTGTGGAGAAGTGGGATGTTGATCGGGGTATCAATAGCACGAAGCCCGAACAAAACTCCACCAATTGCCGCTATCGCTCTCTTATCACCAACCCCTCGGCGGGGTTCTCTGGGCCAGGAGCCCTCATGTGAGGGCAAATCACGATCAACCCGGAGATCAACCATTATATCCTTGTGTACTTCTGGCTGCCCTTTAATTCCTCCTCCAATTGCGTCGTTTGAGTGAAACTTTGAAGTGTGGTGGTCATACGTCGATCAGAAAACAGATCGTTTCGCGATGCCTCTTCCTCAGCTGTTAGTCGGAAAGGTTGCGGCCATTACGGGCGGATTGACAGGTATCGGTAGGGTATGGATGCTTATTACTGGAAATATTTATTTTCGATGTATGCGATTCGGCTAACTTGTTGGCCAGGCGATTGCTCTCGAGTACCTCCGTCACGGCGCAAAGGTAGCAGTTAACCATCTCGGACGACCAGATGAGGAGCCGTTGCTGGAGGCCATGCGGAAAGATGTTGCTGAGATTACTGGAAGTGAGGGGGAACGATTCATCACAGTAGCTGGAGATGTCTCTCAGCCCGAGACTGGTCGGGACTTTGTCGCGAAGACTGTCGAGGCTTTCGGACGGCTAGATATTTTCGTGAGCAACGCGGGAGTGTGCAAGTTTGAGGAATTCCTGGAGTAAGTCAAGTCGCTTTACATGTCTTAGTTTTTGAAGTTGAAGCCGTCTGTACAGCTACTGACCGTCCGGCCTTTGCAGGGTTGACCCTCCACTTCTCGGGCACACGGTGAACACGAATCTCTGCGGAGCCTTCTACGTAACTCAAGCGGCAGCACGGCAGATGGCCCTGGCCCAATCACCACCTGGCGGTTCGATTATCGGGATCAGCTCCATCTCCGCGCTTGTCGGAGGCGGACAGCAGACACACTATACCCCTACCAAGGCTGGAGTGCTCAGCCTGATGCAATCGACTGCTGTAGCGCTAGGAAAGTACGGAATCCGATGCAACGCCTTACTCCCTGGAACTATCCGGACCCAGTTGAACGATGAGGACATGAGTGATCCTGTCAAGAGGACGTATATGGAGGGGAGAATCCCCCTGGGACGGTTGGGTCAGCCTCCTGATCTGGCTGGTCCGGCTGTGTTCTTGGCCTGCGATGAGTTGAGTGGCTATGTGGTGAGTGCATGATCTACTTTTCTTGCTCTGACTTTGGGGGAACACTACTGACGAAGGAACAGACTGGCGCACAGCTTCTCGTGGATGGAGGATTGTTTGTGAACCTGCAGTGACCGTTCTGATGTTTTCTTGTGACGATGGTTATGCCGACGAGCGTGCTCTACATGGCATTGATGATAAGCGCGTAGATATGTACATAGTAATTGCCGCAGATTCCATATTCAGATCTTGATACCATACGCTTTCGCTGCAACCTCTCCCCAGACCCCTTTCTTCTGTTCCTCAGTCAATCCTCGTCTCTCAAGAATATTCTCTACAACACTCTTCCAGCGACTCCAGGAGACAGTATTTCCACCTCCATCTATATTGCAAACAGGCCAGTCCGATCCAAACATGACCCGCTCAGGACCGAAAACCTCGAGAATAACGTCTGTCCATGGCTGTAGTCTATCAACTAAGGACGCGATGTCTGGATCGGGAGTCGATGCAAGCGGAGGTAACTCTGAAAAGCCACCGGAGAGCTTCATGTAAGTTGTAGGATACTGGGCCATGGCCCTGACGAGAGACTTCCATTCAAGGAATTCGGGATGAGAAGTTATAGGCTCAGAAGTAGAATAGGGCAGACGAAGGTTCGGTTTACAGAGATGGTCTTGTGTGGTGCCTTGGTCAGTTCCCTTGCATGTCAATCAGTTATTGGCCTGAGCGCAACATACTAATAACCAGTGTCAATGCAGCGCCTCCATCCACGCCATCATAGATTCTCTTCATCATCTCGACCGCTTCTCTCAGTTGCCAAAGACCGCCTTGCCGCGCATCCACGCCAAGGTCGAAGGTCAGCCCTCTGCTACCGAGATACTTGAGGCCGTCAATGAACCCCTGACTGAGCATGACACCGGACGGTTTATCCTGAACAAGATATCGCACTCCGCGTACTTTCCTCCAGACCTCCTCCGTCTGGGTCCTCTCCTTAACGAACGAAAGATACTTTTCAAGTGCGGCGGGACCCCCCGGTACGGGAGCCCAGGGAACAATTCCTAAGCATAAATGTCTATCGACATCTCTATGTCCCTCACCTGCAATTGGGTTTCCCAAAGCAATGCGAGTCAGCAGAGACACTTCATCCAGAGCGTGCGACCAGCCAGCGCCCGATTCTTCGACCGATGAGATTCGGTCCGTTTCGAGAAAAATGAAGCCGCGCAGGTAAGTGTATTGTGCTGCGTCTGGAGATGTAGGTACTATTGCTGTTGCTGCACGATATTCGTCGACAGAGTGCTGCGATCCAAGTGGGTTGTTGGGTCCATGCCATGCCAGAGTTGGGAGATGCGATTCCGGGAATAGATGAATGTGAGAGTCCACAATTGGGATAGGCATTGCGTCGCTCTTGATGCTTCTCAGCAGTAGCTTTGAGAGAGGTCTGCGACTCGTTCACCTGGGTTGTATCTGGGATCGTCTGAATGCGGGGTAGGGCGCTTCAGCTGTCACAAAGTGTCAAAATGCATAAGCAACAGGGAAGTTGTGTAAGATGATGACATAAATGAGGTTTCTTTGTAGCTCGTCATCTAGATCTGGACTTTGTTGACTTCCCTGAAACAACACGCCATCGGCGACCATTATGCCGAGAGTGCCACTTCGGTTTCATCCAGTTGACGTGGATGAACGACGATCAGGTGAGTACCTTTCGTGAGTACCTTTTGAGCCATTTGGGCGGAAGATATATACTTGTCCCTCGCCGAGTTCCAGTCATACCTTGAGTTTTTGAAAAGGTTTTGTTCGACCATAGATCCTGCTGGGACCAGGGTATGGAACCTCTACGAACCCCGCTTCGGCTTGCGACGTTCTTGACCCCTCATCGATTGATCCTTCCTTCGCTCCCATCACACGCCTCGCTTACAGACGAAACAGACATAATATCACACTTATCCTTGTGATCTTCGAAAATAAACTGCTGAAGTACTACCGAGGTCGTCTTGCCGCTTGACCCTAGGTTGTTACCGTCGTTTCTCATACCGGCATGCGACTATGGCAGTCTGGAGCAAGCCATTCCCCTCATGCTACGACATTGATACTCTGCTCATTGGACGCTGAAAGACGGCAAGTGCCAATTTAGTTATTGCCTAGGCCTTGTGCCTTGTGCAAGCTCATGCAGCGTATGACTTTCAAGCTGTCGCATCCGAAATAATGCCTATGTCTGCAGACCCTGCTGCGGAGGTGTCGGTTGTGTGGTTGTCCCCAATTGCCGGCTAACTTTCCCCGCTCCACCTTGACTCCCCTTTCTTGGTCAGGAGTAGCGTAATAGTCTACCATTGCAGGTAGCACAGACTTGGCAATGAAGATCAAAATAGAGGTGGAGTAGATAAAGAGGGGTCCGAAGATCGTGGAGTATTTGGACCACTCGGATTAGCACCTACACTTCTTTACGACCGTTTCTTCTTTCGCATTCCCGTCAACAGAGCACGTATACCATCAGTTGCACCACATAAGCTCACATTGTCGATATGGCCGCCCCAGAGATTCCGAAGAAGCAAAAGGCGGCTGTCTATGACCAGCCCGGCACTGTATCAACCAAGATTGAGGAGATTGATGTCCCGGAACCTGGTGCTGGTGAAGTTCTTATCAATTTGTATGTCTCCCGCTCGGAATATTTTTCCGTTGAAAGGAGATGCTGTGTTTCTTCTATACCAAAAACAGTATTGTTTCCTTTGGACTGACAAAGACAAATAGAACACACTCTGGTGTTTGTCATTCCGACTATGGTGTCATGACGAACAGTGTAAGTCGTGTCCACCTTCACCTAAAACTAGGCCCTGACGTCTCCTAGTGGAAGATGCTTCCACATCCTACGCTACCAGGACAAGTTGGTGGCCATGAAGGAGTGGGAAAAGTCGTCAAGCTCGGCCCGGGAGCTGAATCATCTGGATTGAAGATTGGGGACAGAGTTGGTGTCAAATGGATMTCGAGTGCTTGTGGAAATTGCCGTATGTGCCAACGGATATTCCAAAGCTTGCTTTCATTTGGTAAACTCGGACTGACAACCGAGCTTTTGCAGAGCCATGCCAGGCAGGCTCCGACGGACTCTGCTTTAAGCAGAAAGTGTCCGGGTACTATACCCCAGGCACATTCCAACAGTACACTGTCGGGCCAGCGAATTACGTCACACCGATCCCAGACGGGCTTGCCTCGGACGAGGCAGCCCCAATGCTTTGTGCGGGTGTCACCGTCTACGCTGCCCTCAAGAGAAGCCACGTTCGACCAGGGCAGTGGGTCGTAATCTCCGGTGCTGGTGGTGGACTGGGACACTTGGCGGTCCAACTGGCCAGCAGGGGAATGGGTCTGCGCGTGGTCGGCATCGACCACGGCAGCAAAGAAGAACTAGTCAAGGCTTCTGGCGCAGAGCACTTTGTGGATATCACGAAATTCCCCTCAGACGACAACGGCGCGGCTATCGTCGCTCATGTCCAGTCGCTGACCGATGGCCTGGGTGCACATGGCGTTCTTGTCTGCACAGCTTCGAATGCCGCATACGCCCAGGCTCTCCTCATGCTGCGTTTTAACGGCACGCTTGTGTGTGTCGGCATCCCCGAACATACTCCTCAACCCATCGCTACAGCAAATCCGGGGTTAATGATCTCCAAGCATTGTACCATCACTGGCTCGGCCGTTGGAAACCGAACCGAAGCTATCGAGACTTTGGAATTTGCAGCACGGGGCATCCTCAAGGCTCACTTCCGCACCGAGAAATTGGAGGCCTTGACGAGCGTTTTCCAGGAAATGGGCGAGGGTAAAGTCCAGGGAAGAGTGGTTCTAGATTTGTCCTAGAGCTGTCGGTATCGTTTGTTCCATCAAGCGTGTGTGTGTTGTTCTGTATGGAGTATGGATGGGTCAATGTGATTATTATTGTCGTCCTTTGCGTTAAGGCCTATTTACTTGAATCCCGGTAGGATCTCGACCATGTCCTAATCCTATCGCTAACTACGAGTTCCGTTTGCCAAAAACATCACTGCTGGGGATAACTAGACTACTGAGGGGGATCCGTTAATCGGCTCGACTAGAAATGGGGACGGAAAGTTGGAGGGAGGGATTGAGAAAAAAAATTGACCGACGCAGGATTCGAACCTGCAATCTCTTGATCCGTAGTCAAGCGCCTTACCATTGGGCCAGCCGGCCAGGCTTATGCAAAGACCTGCCAAATTTGGTTATATAATCATTTAATAAGTCAAGAAATGGCGGCTTGATTCCTTGCCAATACCCCCATGTTCAGGAATGGGTTCACGAAGCTTAATGTTAGGCTCAAGTGAAAACAGCGCCTTGGCCATACCATCATCGGTAGATATTCCGTAGATAGCCTTGGTCTATGTTATTTATAGGTACCGCTGATCACAATATATCTTTCGGCTTCACCTCAAGTTTTGAACCATGAAATGGATGTTGATATTGTGCTATATATATATCAATATGTTTTAGGTAGGTGGGACCACAGATGGTCAGCATACTAGCTATATGGAATAGATCAGCATATCACCCATTTATCAGATCTCTACTGGGTTGAATGAAGCACAATGACTATATTCGACGCACAAGGGTATCTAGATACGGAATCACTCAAGGAAAGCATAGAATATGTACAGACCAACCAAATCACACACAATGACCGTAGAAGTCTTAAGTTGTAGAAGTCATCGACTGCGTTTGGTATCTCCTCCAGATGTGGCCGTGGCTTGGCGTTTCTGCCCAGATGTAGGAGAAGTCGATTCAGCCAGGCGTACTAGAGCGCCCAACTTCAGAATATAAGCTTTGGGAGCTCTGTTCACCTCGTTCTTCTGCAGGATTCTCCCCAGTCTGTCCGCGAATCCACCCAAAACCGCGGGCTGTAGCTTCTCGAGCGCATCGAGGATGAAGAAATTCCCCGTCTCGTCTGCTCTGCCGATAAGCTGGTGATAAAGATTCCGCTGGTCCTCATCCTCTCCGTGAAATGTCGTCCGCCCCCACGTATTACCATCCAGAGAATCCTTGTTACGGCTGCAGATGTCCTCAAGCAGTGTCACCAGGGCTTTTGCTGCGCCTTCCGCGCCGTGAGGTGCCCGCGCAACGATGTGTTGCCCAATGCGGTTGACATTTCGTTCCAGCTGTTCGACAACATCGTCGACATCCAGACTTGTGCTGTCTGCAGGCAGCTGCCCTGTTTGACAATAGCGATCAAAGTCTGCCAGGAGCCTCCGCGTCTTCTCCTGCATCTTGTCGAAATAGATCGCCGCACAAGCCCCAGGAGGCATCGCCTTGCATAGGCTAGAGAAGACAGCATCGTCATGTAGGGCTAGTCGTACCATGGTGGCCTCAAAATCACCCTGCACCACGCACTGTTCTGGAGTGCGTGATTGATCTGCATGTTCCACGAGATCATTGCGAAAATCCTCGAGGACTGTGGATGTACTAAATGCAGAAATAATATCTCTCACTTTCTGAAGGCGGCTCATGCCCCCTTCTGCCTCACTGCGAAGATACTGCCAATTGAGCTGTTCAGCTACGGCCTCAAGCTTGCCCTCAAGGAGCTGCTCGATACGAGGGAGATCCTCAGAGAACCCGTTCTGTGACAGCGATACATCAGATGCAGGTGGTCGGGAGATGAAGCAGCCGTGTAACTGATCAAGAAGCCACTTGAAATTGAGAATTAGCGTTTATCCGGTCTAATCGGTAGGCACCAAACTTACGAAAATATGCTGGCAGGCCACCTCAGGATGGCCCGAGAAGCTCAAACAGGTGCACGTATAAGCATCAGATCCAATATGAACCCGCGGCCTTTCCGACAACTGAAAATCATAGCCCCCCGATATCGAGCGACAGCCGACGACATCAAAGTGACTCGTCAGTCCAATAAGCGCCCTCGCCTCCGAATCACCATCCAAGCGAGCGAGGTCATATACGATGCCAGAGTTCGCCTGGACGGTTGACAGCCCGGCCGACTCTTCTCTGCCTGACCTGCTCTCTACACTGGAGCTATTCATCGCAGCACCGCCTTCAGTATATGCTGACCCCTTCGCCTCCGAATCCATAACTGGAACGTCACCACCTATCGAAAGTTTGTGGAGATGCCTCGTGGGCGCAGACATAAGATCTCAGGCACCAGTCGTGCCAATGAACTGTTCCGGTTAAAAATCCCAGGATGATACTAGCACGCTGAGACAGTCCGCGGCCATGCCCAATTTATACGACACCCGCAGAGTTCGCATCGAACCATGGATGGGAGCGGGTACCATGATACAAGCAAGAGCCAACAAAATGCGTCAGTCTCTCTCACGAGCGCAGCAAACAGCGGCAAGTCAGTCGCATATCCCTCATGACGGGTCGGCAATCCGGATTTGAGGTTCGAACTGCGC